GTGAAACATTAGGAAACAAAACTTCCAGAACACGGCCACACAGCCCGGAAGACCCACACCATATTCCTATTGCCTTAAATTCTCCAAAAGTCTTAAGCTTCCTACTCATATTCCTTGAGATGTATTCCCTACTCAACTCCTAAGTAAAAGGTTTTTTTTTTCTTTTTTTGCCTCATGGTATTTGAGCTTTATATTCACATTTCATAATTTGCCTTCCTTCAGTTCCACCTTTTCTCCAGTCATATATTAGGCACCATTTTCCTGCTCTTAATTTCACCACGACACCTTGTTTTGAGGTAAAATTTCTAGAATGTCCATCAGTTTGAGCTTTTTAGTCTCTGTCACAGGCTTCGGGTGCCATTCAAGGGGCTGGTCACCTCCACCTCACCTCAGCAGTGGAACAGTGAAATGGAGAGAATTTATTCCTTTCTATTTGAATAAACTGGAAAGAGGCCTGCCACAAGAATAATACTTAAATTGTGTCCGTCGTCCGTCCGTCCGTCCTTCCTTCCTTCCTTCTTCATCTTATAGCCAAGAGATTTGCCCAAGGAAAGGGAAGCGGTTGGTCCTTGCTGCCTAAGCATGCGTGGGAGGGGCAAAGTCAGAGAGGAATCCACTAATCAGGGTAAGCATTGATCAGACAGAAATCAGGAAATGCATTTTTAAAAACTGGATTCAGCAACCCCCTTATCGAGTACCAGAGATAGAGATGCCTTTTGAGAAGAACCAGACCAGGAAGGGGCCACTGAGCCCATGAGGCCCACCACTTGTCCATTTCAAGCACCCAGATGAAAGCATCCTCAAGAGATGGCAGCTGCCATGACATCTATCGTTGGGGACATCATCCCACTGGAGATTAGATAGGCCCCGACCCTGCTGGTCTTTCACAAGGTCTTAAAGAAAAGGTTTTGTCACTAGGCTTGGGGATCTGGATGCATGACTCAGCATATGCAATAGTTATGCTGGTTTGTCTGTTGCTTGTTTGGATTTTTGTTTTTATGTTGGTTATCAACGATGATTATTTGTATTGCTATAGGCTGTTATGTGGTGTTTCAACTGCTGTTGGCTGCCCAGAGGCATAAATTTGAGCGGGGCACCCATACAAATTGAAAAATAGATAAATAAATAATCCTCCATCTCAGCAGATCCTTGGCTATCCTGACAGATATAGCAAATGTCCACCACAAATCAAGACCAACCAAATCCATATTAATCCGTGACTGCTTACAGCCAGCCTAACAACCTCCCTTCATACTGAATTGTATAAAAATATTTTCTGAGAGAACCTTGGGGCCAAATTCTCCTATCTCACCTATTGTTTCAGCTTCAAAGTTTGGAGCCCATCTGTTACTTTCCCCTTTGGGCATCTTGTTTGTTCGCTCATTCAGAGTTCAGGGAGGTAGTGTCTCTCCTCCTTCCCATTATCCAAATCATAGTGATTTCTTTGTTGTCTTGCTGTTAAATCTCTAGACACTTTTCTGCAAACTTTCAAAAGACTTGACACAACAGGTCAATTACATGCTTTCCTTTCAATATCCCACCAGGGCCTTCTTGGCTGATGTCCTGGCATTGGAAAGTCTTGGGTGCATAAATGGGTCTGGAGAAAGAGAGAGCCTGGGGAGGCTTCTAGGCCAGGCAGGGGCCGTGTTTATTCTTCTCCCCTTCAGACGTGAAGCCTCATGCTGACTCTGTACAGATTAAGAAAACCCCTGCCTTGGACAAGGACTTTGCTTTCTTCCACCTCTTCTTCTGGCTCTTTCTTCAAAGCAGACACAAGGCTGGAGGCGCCATCAGGAACACAAGTCATGTTGCTGCTTGTGCTGCTTCTGTGGCCCCAGGCAGTCTGTGGGGGGCTCAAAGCCAAATGCCTCCTGACTCCAAAGAGGGATGGAATGGGCCCACAAAATCATTACAGGCCAGGAGAGCTTCTCATTGGAGGCATAGTCTCTGCAACCCAGGCTATTTTTCAACCATTCAGCTTCAATACAACTCCCTCAACTCAGTTTTCCAGGTAGGTCCATCTTCCTGTACTGCATTACAGCCACTCCATTATTGACTGATTTTTGGTAGTTCCAGCCCCCCTACATTTCTAGGCATTGTCACCCTGATCTGCTAGTTTTTCTCCATTTCTCTCCTGTTTCAAGCACAAATAATGATGCTCCTTTGAAAGTCTCAAGTACAGTCATAAATTGTATCTGTTTTTCTTGACTTTGAACAATAAACTTCCATTTTCCTTGACATCCTCTGATCAGAACTAGGTGGTGGATAGAGAAGATCAGATTACCCCTTCCTTCTACCCCTCCCTTGCCTCATAAAAGTGTTACCTAGGACACAAAAATGCTGGAATTCTGTATTTTTTCCCTCTATTTCAAATGAGATAATCTCTACCAATTTTGTTCTGGACCAAAATTCACTGTTTATATGAAAGAAACCCAGAAGAAAATTTATGTAATCATTGAGTTTCTAAATATCTGTGAGTGCCATTTGAAATTGATGCCAGGTACCCTAATTATATAATGATTTAAATGTAAGTAGAGCTTCCACTCAGTAGTGGAAAATCAAAGCCCATCCAGAAATTGACACATTATTGTCACGATCATTGTGTGTGTTTGTGTGAGTCTGTGGACTAGATGGCCCAAATGGCCCTTTCCAACTTGATGATTTAATGATTCTATATCCAATTTGGAGGATAAGTCAAACTTTAAACCATTAACTATTAGAGATGATCACTTGAGGGAGAGAGAATAATTAAAATCAGTCTAAAATCACTGTAAGGAGATTCACAACAAGAAGAATAATCTAAAGCTAATAATAAATATGTTCCTTTAGACATAAGGTGCAGTCAGTATCCTAAAATGCTATAACAATTGAGGGAGTTCTAAACATCTGTTGAAATATACGAGATCTCTGGAGATGCCTCCCACCCTTCTTAGGAGAGATGAAGCAGTCCATCCAAATAGGGGATGAAATCTCCAAAACTGGCTCAACCTTTCTGTTCCTATCACAAAATGGGATACTGCTTTAAAATATATTTTCCTAGTACAGCTTTTGTTGTTGTTTTTTTTTTAATGTTAATATTTTTTGGAATGTTATAATCCATTCAGAGGAACTGTTGGGCTTGGGTAGATATAGAACTATAAACATTAAAAGAGGTTAAATAAAATGTCCTTTCCCTGATTTTGTTCTAATACTTTTATATTTGCAGGACAGCCACAACACGATACTGGAAAATGCTCTCTTTCCTTTTCGCCATCCAGCAGATCAACCAGGATTCCCATCTCTTGCCCAACATCACCCTGGGTTACAATATCTATGAAAATTATTTCCATGCAGGAAAGACTTCAGGTGCTCTGCTGGACCTGCTTTCAGATGGGGAGGCCGATGTCCCCAACTACAGGTGTGGAAGGCTGAGAAACACAGTGGTGGTTCTCGAAGGGGCCAAGACTGACATCTCCATCCAGATTTCGACCATGTTGGGCACCTACAAAATCCCTCAGGTGTGTCTTTGCTGGGGAGACAGTTTTCAGTCATGCAGCTGTAAATGAAGAGCAGAGTTTTCTTATGGAAATTGAATGAACTAAGTATGATCATTCAGGTTATCCAATAGGAGGGAAGGATTGGAGCTAACATATTCCCTCCCACCATGCACTCAGTCTAGATTGGGAGACCTTCTAATTCCTGGGGACACAAAAATTCTTGGCTCTTGAAGCCAGTGGGAAAGAAGTAATGTATGTGTCAGGTGAGCAGAGAAGTTTTCATTGCAAGGAGTAGAACTTTCCCTTCATTCAGGACAGAATGGTTTTCTTACATTTTGGATGTTATGTCTATCAAATAAAATTCCATCTTTCATTATTTTCAGATCAGCTACACCTTTGTTTCCCAGATTCTGAGTGACAAAGCTCGGTTTCCCTTCTTCCACCCAATGCTCCCTGCTGAAGGAGCCCAGTACCCAGGGATGGTCAAGCTGCTTCTTCATTTCAGGTGGACCTTGGTGGGTCTGATTGCTCCAGATAATGACAATGGGCAGAATTTCATGAGGACAATGACTTCCATGCTGATAAGGAATGGCATTTGTCCGGTTTTATCACAAACCTTTTCCACAACTTCCCATGAAATGCTCATAGATTGGCATCCATACCACAATTGGAGACAAGTGAACGTCTTTCTTTATGGTGCAGAGAATGAGTCACTCACTTCAGGAATATTGATTTTACATGAAGCATTTCAGTCCTTTCAGGAACCTGTTAGGGGAAAAGTCATAATCCTTGCAACCTGTTGGGACATCACCATTTATTTGGCATATGACAATTTCCCCATGCAAAACATCCATAGCATATTTTCCCTTATTATGAAGGGAAACCATATGGGAATGTCTGGTGTGTTTGTGGATTCCATGCAAGACTTTGCAGAAAAATCCTTTAGGTGTTCGTACCCTAATGATGCCTTTTCAGTGAAGGTTTGGAGACGATGTAGGCAGAGAGAAGAACTGGAGGCTCTCCCCCAGGAGGAGATTGATGAGATCTTATTCCTGGACAGCTATTTCATTTACAACATAACCAGGGCTGTGGCGCGGGCCTTACATGCAGCCTCTATGTCCAGATCTAAGATGACAAGGATCAAAGGTGGTCGAAACATGGAAACTCCAAGGCTGAAAGGGTGGCAGGTATTTCTATTCTGTCTCTCTCCTGCAGCTGAGAATCAGTTCAGAGGTGTCTGAACTGGGCAGATTTTTTGAAAAATTAATTTACTATGAACATCAAAATTAAATTGAGTCCCAACTTTTCAGTCCTCTCCTTTTTGCATTCCCTTCATTTCTTTCCTGTCTGTCACAATCTTCTTAAATTGGTTTTCAAAGAGAATTCTTTGATGTCTTCACGGTTTAGTCATCTTTACCCTTATTCAATCCAAGGTCATTTCAATACCTTCCAATAATGGTTTCTTCCTAGTCACCACATTATTTTGCTTGCATATTTCTCTAGTATGTTTTTCTTTTCTTTTTTTCTTTTCTTTGCATTCATTTTACTGATCTGCGTGATATATCAGGCAATGTAGTACTCTGACCCCTCACCTATAGGCTCTCCCTCTGCTCAAGGTCTTCCTTAATTTGTCCCTCCTCTAAAATCTCAGCAGGGCTGGAGATACCGAATAGTGATGGGTCTCAGGAAGTGGCATCTTGTAGGCCAGGTTAGAACTTGGGCAGATTATTATTTATTTATTTGATTTCTATGGTTGCCCATCTCATCTAAGTGACTCTGGGCAGCTCACAACTGGTTAAAACAATCCAATAAAAAGAAGTTAAAAACCAATATAAAAATGTATAACAACTGTCCATAACCAATTAAGAAAAAAATCATGCTCAGCAACAGAATTCATCCTACATCAGCTTAACGCAGCCACTGTATGAGCATCCCACCTTTGCCACACCCCCAGGCACGGCAGCAAAGCCACATCTTCAGGGTCTTCCTAAAGGCTGGGAGGGTCAGGGCCAATCTAAGGTATGGGGGGATGATGTTACATAGGGCAGGCACCGTCGCAGAAAAGGCTCTCTTCCTGGGTCCAGATGACACTCTTTCATAGATAGGATCCATAGCATGCCTCTCCTGCCAATCCTGATGGGATGGGTAGATATAACCAGAGAGAGGTGGTCCCTCAAATAACCTGGTCCCATGCCATATTGGGCTTGTTAGGTCATAACCAGCACCTTGAATTGCACCTGGAAGCACACTGGCAACCAATGCAGCTGGCAGAGCAGAAGTTTAACATGCGTTCATTGAGGAGCGCATATAACTCCCTGGCCACCACATTCTCTACCAGCTGCAGCTCCTTGATGCTCTTCAAGGGCAGCTCCATACAGAGTGCATTACAGTAATCCATTCAAGAGGTGACCAGGGCTTGTGTGACCATGAGCAGAACCTCCTGGTCTGGGAACGGGTGCAACTGGCACACAGCACAGAGTTGCACAAGGGCCCTCCTGGCCATGGCTCCTACCTGCTCTTCAAGCAGGAACTGTGAGTCCAGGAGAACCCCCAGATTGCATACTGGGTCTGTTTGGGGCAGTGCCACCCCATCCAGAACCAAAGGTGATATGTCCTTGGAACCAGCAGGCCACAAAACCCAGAGCTACTCAGACTTGCCAGGGTTGAGCTGAAGCCTAATGTCCCCCATTCAGATTCCTACAGCCTCCAGACACTAGGAAAGGACCCCCTACAGCATTGCTTAATTCACCAAGGGTGGAGATATAAAGCTGGGTATCATCATAATACTGATGATATCTCACCCCATGGCAACGGATGACCTCGCCCAGCAGCTTCATATAGATATTAAACAGGAGTGGAGAGAGTACCAAACACTGTGGAACCCTGCAAGGCAGGGGCTGAGGGCAGGACTTCTTACTCCCAATCAACACTGATTGGAACCAACCCTGGAGGAAGGAGGGGAACCAGCACAATACAGTTCTGCCCACCCCCAACTCCTGGAGTCAATCCAGAAGGATATCATGGTTGATGGTATCGAAGGCCACTGAAAGGTCAAGAAGAGCAAGAATGGATGTTCTACCCCCATCCTATTCACACCAGGGGTCATCCAAAAGTGCAACCAATGCTGTTTCAGTCTTTTACACAGGCTGGAAACCTGACTCAGAGGGGCCCAAATAATTCATCCAGGGTCTTCTGAAGCTATTGCATGACCACCTTCTCAATAACCTTTCCTAAAAAGGAAAGGTTGGAAACTGGACGAAAGTTGTCCAGCATAGTTGGGCCTAGCGATGTTTTTTTGAGAAGGGGGCAACCAATGCCTCCTTAGAGCTGAAGGGGCAACCCCCTCTCTCAATTAATCACTGCTAGGACCCAGCCACATATCACCTCCCAGGAGGCTTTCACCAACCAGGAGGGGCATGAATCTAATAGACAGGTGGCCAAGCTCACAGTCATGAGGACCCTGTCCACTTCCTCAAGCTCAAGAGGATCAAACTCTTCCCAGATAACAAAGCAAGACTGCATTTCAAGCACCTATACTGTACTAAGGCTGGAGTTCAAGTGGGAGTGAATCTGAGTGACTTTATCCTCCAGATGCCCTGCATAGTCCTCCACATGGCCCTGTAGCAAATGTCCAAGTCCCCGTTAGCCAGGAGGGTTGTGATGGAATGTATCTATGAAGAGGAGGGTGATGTGGTGGATAGCAACAGAGAGCAAGGATATCAGGAAGAAGGGGGTGCATTCCAGGAAGGGAAAGGAGACAAAAGACAACACAGTCCGCAGGGGGAGCGTGGGAAGCATAAAAGGTTCAAGACAGCCACTCCCTAGAATCTCCCATGGTATATCCACTAGGTGCAGTAGTATAGATTTAGTCTGGCAAGATTGGTGCCAGGCCCAGCCCAAGAACAATAGCAAAACAGTCCAGTTAAGTTTTTTTATTTGCTTACACCATATAGACAGAATCTGGCCAAACTAAATCCCTGTTGCTATCCACCACATCCTCCTCCTCCTCTTCATAGATACAATCCATCACAAGGGCTCAGGACATCTTAAACAGGGTCGTCAGATGGCTATCCATGGATGCAATAAGGGCAGAGAAGTAGATGCTTCACCACCCTTACCACCACAAGGTAGGTCTTAATAGCGGCTCTCATCTGTGTTCAGTCAAGTTTGCTCCTTGTTGACCTAGGTCTTAATAGCGGCTCTCATCTGTGTTCAGTCAAGTTTGCTCCTTGTTGACCTAGGTCTTAATAGCGGCTCTCATCTGTGTTCAGTCAAGTTTGCTCCTTGTTGACCTAGGTCTTAATAGCGGCTCTCATCTGTGTTCAGTCAAGTTTGCTCCTTGACCTCCTGTGGCACTTCAGGCATCTTTTCACCCATTTCATCTCCCTCAGCTCTTCTGTAGACCATGGGGAGCAATGGAATCGGCAGGTGGGAGAGGCCTCATGGGCGCAATCCAATCCAAGGTTGCCACCACCCTTACATTCCAGGCAGCAGTTAAAGCCTCAACCAGAGCAGACCATCAAGGACAACCCAAGCTCCATCTGGAACCCTTCAGGATCCATTAGTTGCCTAGGGCAGACTACTAGAATAGCTTCCACCTTCCTGCAGCAGAGGTAGTGCCAGAGAACCCCATGGCTACCAATCTGACCATGACAGAGGAGTAACTGAAAACTTCCCCAATTCCCAATCACATTGCCACTGCTCTAGCAGAAAAGCTAGATCAGGTGTACAACCACTATCCTGGGTCAGGCCCTGTGGCTGCCCTAGAAGAGTATCCAGAAGGTTCAGCTGGTGCAAAATGCAGCAGCACAGGCAGTTATGTGTGCCCCTAGAGCAGCATACGTTACACCTCTGTTCCATGAGCTGAGGTGGCTGCCAGTCTACTTCTGGGTCCAATTCAAGGTGCTGGTTTTAAGCTTTAAAGCCCTTTATGGCACGGGGCAAGGCTATCTGAGGGACCACCTCTTCCCAATTATATCTGCCCATCCCATCAGATCTGGCAGAGAGGGCATGCTGTGGTCCTGTTTGTCAGGGAACTACATTTGGTGGGTCTCAGGAGGCAGCCTTCTCTGCCATGGTGCCTGCCTTAAGGAATCTTCTCCCCCTGGAAATGAGGTTAACTCCATCCCTCGTAACGTTCTGCAAGTCCCTCAAGACCTGGCTATGCCATCAGGCCTGGGGATCCCAGAGAACTGGGGAGATCTCACAATGGCTCCCTTGCTGTGGCTAACATCATCCTCTCTTGTTCTTATGCCTTTATAGTTTCTATAATGCATGTTTTTATATATTTATTGTTTTTTTTAATTAAGTGTTGTACTCCACCCAGAGTCACTTTTTTATGAGATGGGCGACCATACAAATTTGATAACTAAATAAATAATGAATAGGCCCATGTAATGGAGGCCACGAACTCCCAAGCTACCCCAGACCCCACTCCCAGAGAAGGCAAATTGAAGTCCCCCAGGACCATAAGCCTAGGAAACTCCAGCGCCAGCCCAATGGAGTCAAGAAACTCAGGCAGGGAGGTTGCTGTGCAGCAGGGAGGCTGGAACAGCAGCAACACTCCCAACTGATCCCTAGAACCCAACTTAATAAACAGGGTGTCACATCCAGCAGTCTGAGGAGCAGTACCCCTGAAAGCCAATAGAGACTCCCAGATGACAATCACCACACCACACCCCCACCCCTGCCCTGGAGTCTCAGCTCATGCCACAGCCGAAACCTGGCTAGGCACATCTCTGAGAGGGGACCCCCTCCCCCTGCTTTCAGGAACCATTCAGGTTTCAGTGATAAATGCCAGGTGAGCCTCTCATTTGTGATCAAGTCATAGATGAGGAGGCCTTATTACAGGCTGATGTGGCATTCAGCAACTGCAGCTGAAAGCCAAGGCCCCCGATGGCCCACTGACCAGGAATTGGGGCTGAGCACAGGGGGCTGGAGCATGGTACCAGCAATAAACACTGTGGATGTGTTCCTCGAGAGTGGCCCGCCCCCTGCCTCTCACTATACCTCCCCATATCCATCAGATTGAATGGATCATTGGGGTAAAAAACTGGAGAAGGGAAAAGTGAAGAAAAATACTGAAAAATCCATGAAAAAATTCATGGATCTGCCATGAAATCACAGGAGTTGAGCTTGACTGGGAGGAAATAACATCTTTCATGATGGAGGTTTGGATTTTGTTCCCCAGGTCAAGTGACCCATCTATTCCCTTGAGGCAGAGTTTCTCTAGCAAAACATACTAGTAGAGCAAAGGAAATGTAGTTATCCTGAAGGTAAGGAAATGGTGAATTGGTGAGATGGCTACATTGCCTGGAACATCAAATATACTCTCTCCTAGTCTTTAAATAAATTGATGCTTTTTAAATTGTGGAATGCTTTTAATGTTGTTCATTTTATGGCTTTTTTAATATTGTACGCTGCTCAGAGTCAGTTTGTGAGATGGGGGGCTATATAAATATAAATATGATGAATAAATAAATAAAACTTAAAAAAAATTATTGGAACAGTTTTTGACAAGTGGTTGGTGAATATTATGAACTGGATGGATAATATGGTAGATATTATAAACTGGGACCTCCAAGACTGCCAATTAGTACTCCAGAGATGGGAGGAGGTGTGAAAAATTAACTCAAAATAACCCTGCCTTGATTTTATTTAGTCTAAGGGAAGGGGAAAACTCAGACAGGCTTTTAAGATTAATCCCAGTCCTTCCAGGTAGACCAGGTTGAGAAAAAGCTAAAATTCTAGAAATGCTATTTTATTATTGCATTATACTTCAACATTGCATTGTATTATGATATTGTATTATATTATTGTATTACTTTATTATTGTATTGTAACACAACCTTGAAAGCCTGTCCAAATTTCCCTCTGTCATATCTCACTGTTTGTCCAGATGGTATGTATTTAAATGGGAAGTTAGTATATGTTAAGATTCAAAACTTTATAGATTCTCTCCTGAAGAAGTTGAAAAAAAAATCTGAAACTTCAATTTTTGTCGAGAGAGGGAAAAGGTTTATTCACCCACAGCACAAAGGAAGGGGTCTTGCCATCAAACTCTGGATGTCCTGTCTAAACATATCCATTGCCTCTTCCATTCTAGCTTCATTCCTTTCTTCAAAACTCTCAGTTTTACAATAATTCTATAAATGGAGTATATTTGGATGAGAAGGGAGACCCATCAGCAGACCTGGATGTTGTGAAGTGGGAGGCTGTCAGTGATATGCATCTTAGCAGAGTGAGGTTCGGGCATCTAGAAAGACAGGGATCCCTGGATTTCAAGTTTATGATCAACCAGAAAGCTGTTGAAGATATGGAAGAACGGAACAAGGTGGGGAAAATGTCTTTATTTTACTCTTTCTGAAGTCCGGCGTTCTCCAAGAGAGGCAATATATTCTTTTGTTAGATGTCCAGGTGTCCATGATAAATATATCCTTAATTACTTAAGGACACTATTTATTAATCCAGTGCAAAGGGAGGAAGATTTGAGCCATGGAATCAAAGTGATTTCCTTTTGCCAAAGCAGAGATTCTGTCCAACATTCCCTTGAGTTGCTTAGCTTGTAAAGTTAGAAACGAAATCTAAAACTTGTACTGTGTAAAAAGTTAGAAGAGAAGATCAACAGAGAAGCAGCACATAGCCTATTCACCTTCCTCTCTCTGGCCAGCCCCTGCCTCCTTCCAGGTGTGTGGAAAGCTGTCGTCCCGGATTC